CTATAATAATAAGCTTACCAGAGATCACTCCCTGACTCCAACAAAAGCTCTGGCAGGAAATTAGTCTTTCAAACCCCACAAAGAGGTTCCCAAGTTCATAACATCCTGGGCTTAGAACCAGAACAATAATGAATAGTTCAGTCTCTCTTTTATACAGTTCGAGCCTTTGATCTTGGCCCAGTGAACAGGTGATCAGTAGACAATGGTCTCCTCTTCAGGGTGTAGCCTCTGTGCCTCAGTTTCCCAAAAGCTGGGTTTTGCGTAACTGGGGTGGATTTCCCAGGAAATCCATGACGCATGTACGGTCCCAAAAGACCAAGTATGGTCCAGGCCCACGGTAATATGTAACCTTCGCATTTAATACAACAGGCTCCAAAGACACATAATCTTAATTCAATAAGGTTTTTCAAGGATATTGCCACAGCTTTCACACTAACCTTCTCCCATCGTCAGCCACAGAGATGTGCATGCCTCCCGAGCACATCACAGCCCCCCTCAAAACCTTGGGCTGGCCTGGATTATGTTTGCCCCGAATGCACAGGCTCTGACTATTATTTTTTGCCAGTGGGTCCTCCACCCCTGCCCCACCCTGAGGCCCTGCCCTCGCTCCACCTCTTCCCGCCCCCACTCCGCCCCCTAACTCCCAGGCTAGCAAATGATTCCCAACAAGACTAGTGTGTTGAAGAACGTAATCATCAAAACCAAACCAGTCCATGCCAGGACTAGCAAACATTTCCCACTCAGATGGGATTTTCATGGGGACACCCAATGTCTACTCAGCTTACAGTGTGTGGCTTTTGTGTACTCCGCTCTAAAATCCTCTCCAGTCTCATCAGCAAAATATCTTAAAAGTCCTTTGCTGGTAACTAGATCAAATCCAACAGTTAGTCAGGGGGGTTGATAGTTTGTTTTTCACGTAACTTTTGTTGTTGCCGCTATTTTGGCTGAGTTGCTGTGTTTGCTTTTCATTGCAAAATCCCCCATACAGCTGAGGGGGCAAATTCTGCCCTCACTTACACCAGTTGGTGCAATTCCATTGAAATTTATGAGGCTGCACTGGTGTATATGAGGGCAGAATTTGACTCTAGTGTTTCGATATCAAACCCCCTTCTGCAAATGTTCACAAACTGCCTTATGACTTACTGTACTATACAAGCCCACAAAAAAATTGACAATGGTTAGGATGCTGGTGTGCTGAGACCACGGCCTGTCATGATGACCAATACTGTCTCATTGTTCTCTTGTACTCCCTCAGTCTGTCTCAATCCATCTGCTGTCTCTTGTTTTACACTGAGATTGAGAGCTCTTTGGGGCAGGGTTTGTCTTTTTGTGCAGTGTTTGTACAGCGCCTAGCACAATGGGGTCTTGGTCCATGACTGGGGATCGTAGGTGCTACTGAAATAGAAAGAAGGTTAAATAATAATTTGCTTCAGGGTGTAGTCCTATCAAAGCCAGTGGGACCACAATTCAGTAGCAAGCACTATTCCCCATAGTAAATGTCTGTAGTACTGAACCCACAGTGTGGGTGCAGATGGGTCTGGTACTATACATGGGACTACTGAACCAAAGTTATGGAGAAAGGAGTATTAATTTTATTCAGCATAATGCTGCATATGTGGTGGGGGTGGATTGGTGTTCAGTCGCCTGTCAAGAAACCACTGATGCTGAGGTACAGTAACTACAGATTGGCCACATGTGATCATCACTGGATGGCTTAAAATTTTTGCTTTCACTAGGTGAACATCTTTGGGGTTTCTGTGTGGAGCCTTGGTGCAAAATCCTGCTCCCACTGAAATCAAAGGCCAAATTTCCACTGACTTCTAGGGATCAAGTCCTGTCTCAGCCGCACCCTTGCTGTATGATCTTTATCCTCATCTGAAGCAAAGGTCATTTTGGGAATCTCTAAGCACTTTTCTTATAAGCCTTGATTTTCATTAGCTGTCTCAAGGCTCCCTGGGGAAGAAGAGGGATGGTCTTGTTGTGCAACAGATTTCTTGTTTTACCTTGAGTGAATCACTTGACCTCTGTGCCTCAGTTTCCCCATCTATAAAATGACATTATCATCTTTCTAGCTTATAGGTGTGTTGTGAGGGATAAATGTTTACAAAATGCTTTGGAGATGGTTAGACCAAAGGAGTGATAAAATCTAAATACTATTTATTTATTTGTAATTAAATTGCAATGAATCAGACCTGGCTAAAGAAGTTATTGGCCCATTTCTGATTTTATTTTTTAACAAAAATTGTTTCAAACATTGAGGCCATTTTAAGTTTACTTGTGCACATGAATTAATGTTTCTCCTATGAAGAGTCTCATTGGCTTCAAATGCAGCATTTTTTCTTCAGGCCTCTAAATTCATCTCCCATTAAAAGGTTATTTTTTTAAAAGTTACAGATTTAAAAATGAATTGCCATAATAAAGATATTTCCAGATATTTCAGATGAAGACATTCAGAATGTATGTAACAATACATATCCTGACTTCTTGTTTTGAGTAACATCAAGATTTCTTATCCTTCAAGATGAATTTATCTTGGTCAATATTTGCCTCTTAGGGTTGTGAATGTTGATGTTCAGTTCTGCAGATATTAATAGTTGCAAAGTTTAGAGAAACTTAGCATGTGATGTATCTAATCAGTAACTTTTAAAGCTAAATATCTCTGTGGTCTTTTGTACTATTTTTTTAGTTTTCAAAACTAAAGAGAATTTATTATATGTAGGGATTTAGATTCTGGATCTCGCAATCACATATGCATATGATGCATTGAAATCCCTGGGACTACTCAGTTGTGTAAAGTTAAGCACATTCATAGGGGTTTTAGGATCAAGGCCTAAGGCAGGAAAGAACATAAATTTCTTGACTCATCATGGGACTGTTTTGAGCCAGTCATGAGTCAAAATGTCTTTTCTGATGTATGTAACAATATCTTGCTGTACAGTAAAGCCAGTTACTACAAATTTTTTTATTTATTATTATTATTATTTTATTTTGCTGTTTAATAAATATTGCTACTATATGTCAAGTCTTATTACTGGATAACAAACCTTATTACTGCATAACAGACTTTTACTGCAAATTTAACTAGAACTGCACAAAACTACATATTGGCCTTGCAAAAGTGTGCATGTGAAACCAGATGTTCATGCGTATTCATGAAAATTCACATATTTGACCAGTAATGACATTTCTCAGTTTGTGGAAGAAAATGTGTTGTTTCACTTTGAAAATGTTCAAATTCTGCTGTAGTCAAAGTCATGCCATTTTGCTAATTGGGCTCAGACAGAAATGTTGGCAGGCAAACAGCAAAGATCGGTGATGAAATGGTGAAATTTTACCCATAGACTGCTGAGAAGGCAAGATTTTCCTATAAAGAGTGACAGTGAAAAGGTGGGGGAAATGAGCTGGAAATCCATGGGCCAAATCCTCAACTTGTGTAAACTGTGATAGCTCCATCGACTTCAATTGAGCTATGACAATTCATAGGATCCCCCCCCCCCCCCAATGTTTTGGATATAACTTTTTCAAGAAATAGCAGGAATTTTAACATTTTGCCATTGTGTTTGTGATAAGCATCCTTCCATATGGCTCAGTAATAAACCTTGCTAGAGAGTCTATGAATAGTAATGCTTGTTCTTTATTCCTTACCCTAAAGAGAAGGAAAATAAAGAAACAAGCATGCTTTACTTTATCAGCAAGAAAGTCAAGCACATTCAGTGGTTGTTTGCTGTGTTGTTGTAGCCGGGTTGGTCCCAGAATATGAGACACACAAGGTGGGTGAGAAATCTTTTATTGGACCAACTTCTGTTTGTGAAAGCGACAAGTTTTAGGTGCTGGAAGAAGAGCTCTGTGTAGTTCGAAAGCTTGTCTCTTTTACTGACAGAAGTGGGTCCAATAAAAGATGTTACCTCACCCACCTTGTCTCAAGCACATTCAGCACAGATTTCATCGCAGTGCCACATTATAACCACACTGCAGTTATAACAGTTATAGACAAATATAATGGATACACAGATTATATTCATACCTCATTTCTTTGTTCGGAAGCTCTCCATGGGACCATTGATTAGATGGCACTACTGTGGTGTAGCGTGTATTAAAAATAAAGCCACTCATCTCCTTAGTTCTAGACCAAATGAATCTATCACTTGGTTGCAATAATAAAGGTAGCTTCTGAGAGTGGCCCAGAGACAGGAAGGAAAGCGGAAGAAAGGATTTAGGCATCCAGTCACGGGGAAGATAGGAGAGTGAAGTGGGGAAGATTGGATTTTTAAATTACTTCTGTTCTGGCATGGTTGTCAAGATGAAAAACCAGCAGAGGGAAAGATCTGTGTCCATGGTATTGTCACCACTCAAGAAACACAGCATACACCATCTATCTAAAATGCCCTTTTGTTTTAGAACAAGATAAACAAGAAAGAACAAAAGTAAAGTCTCCTAGGAAGAGCACAGTATATAGGCTAGTCTACACAAGAAAGGCTTTGCTGTTATAGCTATAATATCATCTTATACTGACATAAGGAGCTTTTTTGCCAGTATAGTTAAACCACCTCCTTGAGTGACTTAGCTCTACAGACAAAAGGACTGTCTTGCGGGTATAGCTGTGTCTGCATGGCAGGTTTTGTTGGCATAGCTACATCAATCAGGTGTGTCTTTTTTTTTTTTTGGACCCCTTTCTGACATAGTGTAGACCTGGCCCATGTGTCCCCTTTAAAAGGCTGCAGCAAGCCTGAGGGGAGAGAGATCCCCCGTCAACTTAATAACTCCTCCCTCCGTCAGAGGTGGTAGCTATGTTGGTGGGAGAAGCTCTCCTGCTGACATAGGGCTGTCTACACCAGCACTTAGGTCGGTATAACTGACCAGGAGTGTGAATAATCCACAACCCTGAGCAATGTATAACTTACGTTTCTCAAAGTAACCTGTAGTGTAGACAAGGTCTTAGAAGGAGGGGAGCTTAAAATGTGTCATGGACTCTGACTTGTGTGTATTGTTTGTTTGACCAGGGACAAGGGGCTCTGTCTGAGAGACTCAGGAGCTTTAGCATGCAGGATCTCTCAACCATTCGAGGAGACAGCAGCAGCCCTGTACCTCCTCCAGTCACTGTACGAACAAGCAGCAAACAGAGCAAGCCCAAAACATCCAGAAGTGCGTCAGAAAGCACGGGCAGCTCAGGTAAGTCTCAGCATTTTCCTCAGTCTTGTATTTTCTGATGTTTTTTCTCCACTCACTGATCCTCAAAGTGGAGCAACAGAGGAATGCAGGAAGCACTGGTACAAGGACATGGAGATACATAGACGTTGCAATGCTTACATTCACAGGATAGCAGCACACCATTGAAGCTTAGGGTCAGGGTAATTAAAGGAGGGAGCAAGATTGCTGTGTGATGGCCAACATTCTGGCAGACACCAAGGATTGAACCTTAAACTTCCAGAGAAGAAGAGTTTCAACAGCTTGAACTAATGCATTGGCTCTCAACCTTTCCAGACTCCCGTACCCGCTTCAGGAGTCTGATGTGTCTTGCTTATCACAAGTTACAGTTCACTTAAAAATTACTTGCTTACAAAATCAGAGCTAAAAATACAAAAGTGTCACAGCACGCTATTATTGAAAAATTTCTTACTTTCTTATTTTATAATTATATGGTAAAAATGAATCAATTGGAATATAAATATTGTACTTATATTTCAGTATATAGAGCAGAATAAACAAGTCATTGTCTGTATGAAATTTTAGTTTGTATTAACTTCGCTAGTGCTTTTTATGTAGCCTGTTGTAAAACTAGGCAAATATCTAGGTGAGTTGATGTACCCCTGATAGACCTCTACCTACCCCAAGGGGTATGTGTACCCCTGGTTGAGAACCACTGTTCTAAGGAGTCAGGCCCTGGGGCTGCAGCAGATTCTCATCCTCTGCAGGGCAGCACAGAGCAGGATGTATGATACACATTAACAGTGGCTTACAATTGCACATAGACAAAACAATCCTGCCACAAGATTGTGTCAATCAGGACAAACAGGCTGAGCTGACAGCTCTCATGTACCAGTGGAGTCCGGTGACTGCTGAATGTGGGTGGGTGAAATTGACACTCAGAGTCCATTTATTGTAAGGAGTAAAGAGTGTAGGGTAAAATCTTCAAAAGTCCGTAAGTGACTTATGCACAAGTCCCATTTTCAGATGTAACTCAAGAGCTTAAGTCCCAATGACTTTCAGTGAGACTTAGTCCCATTTTCAAAAGAAAATTAGGAGCCTTACGCTTCTACGTCACCTAATTTTGAAAATTATACCCATGCCATGGTGTGTATTTTGTGTGAATTAGGTGCACCAGTGCCTACCCTGCCTGTCCTCTTGAATCACCACTGAAATGTACAGTAGATATTATGACAGTCATATTTTAAGATACTGCACTATAGACAGACAGCTCATGAATAAAACCCCTATCAATGTATGTGTAAGGATAGATGCTGAGATTTGAAAGCTATTTATGAGGGATGTCCCGTAAGTGTGGGGGAAGGGAGAGGAATAGGAGCAATTGCCTCTGAAATATATTTGATTGGATTCAGCTTCTGGGAGGACAAAAGCAGAAAAGCAGCACAAATTTTGCTTTGTCAGAAAAGTGTGGAGGTCAGAAGAGGGAGAGATTTCATTATAAAGATTTTTGCAAGTTCAGGTGTGAAAAGCTTTGTGGGCCCAGATCCAAAATGTGTGGCTTGAGCAGATAAATTTCAGATAAATTAATCTGAAAGCTTGTTAGTTAGTAGATTGTCCCAGACAATGTTTTCCAGAACTCTTCTGTAACACCCTCAGACCAAAACTCCTGTAACTGCCCTGCTTGATTCTGGGGAGAGGTTAGGTTCTTCTGGAAAGCAGCAGGTTTGTCAGCATTTGGAGGCTGGTCAGTGAAGTAAAAAGTAGAGTTGTTTGAAATCTAGCAGTTTCAATTCCTGGTGGGGGTCTGTGTAAAGGTTTGCTGGGTTTCAGATTTATGTGAATTTGCACCTCTCAAGCTTTGCTTTGAGTCCTGGGATCTACCGGTAATGTCTGTTCCGTGGTTACCACTATCATCATATTTGAGCACCTTACAAATTCTTAAGGTTATAAATTGCAAGGATATCTGGTGATGTTTTTTCATCCCCCCCATTTGTAAAGGTTTGTCTATACACAAACCTACACCAAAATGATAAAATTGCTTTTAATTCACACTTGTATTATTCCAGTGCAAGTTTGTGTGTGAACACACTTGGCTCCAATTTGTGTGTCATATTTTGTTTTATTAACAGGACACTCGCAATCTGAAATAAGAGGGTTCATAACAAAATAGGACATTCTTAATCAAAAATAAGTGTTCACATGCAGACTTCCACCAAAATAACCAATAAACCTGCTTTAGATATTTGTTTGATCTTGTGAGCAGACCAGCCCTTGTGTTTTGTTCTTGCTGATTTTGGCCTGGTTTCACACTGACGGCAGACATTGACCTCGGCTCTTCCAAAGCTGGGCCATGGTTAACCAAACTGTTCATGAACCATTCAGCAAAGCTGGGCTGAGTTCAGAGTCCCTCGCAAAATCAAGGATCCAGGTGAATTGTGTGTGATTTGATATTTTGTAATAAAATTTGTGAACAGTGTATGTGTGCAAGTGAGAGAGATTTGCCAGTCAAGCAGTACCATGTCTGGAGAGCCATGGACAGGGGTAAGCAGCTGGACTTCCCACCCTACTGCAACCAGAGTGCACTCACACTAGATACAGTCCAAACTGCCCTCGTTCCTGGAGTTTGCCTTACAAATTAACAACACACAAATATATCCATGGTGTCAGTGGTGCCCTCTACCTCACAGAAACATTTCTTGTACACCTTTTTATACTGCTGCATTAGAGCTAAGAGGACTCAGCTGCTCAGACATCAGAAGGAATCAGCAAAAGTATCTCTGCCTCTCTGCACAGTACTGGACAGGACAACTCAGCTGAAAGGCTTTGCATTCCTGTAAAGGGTCTGAGAACCTGCCAGACTGTTACAGTGACAACAGTAGCTAGATTATAGGGGACAGCCACAAATCTCCTACAGCTTCAAGAGGATTTACAGAAATCCTGGCCCATGCTAACATATTGTAACAACTGGGACTCAGCATTGCTAGGCTTCTGTAAGTGGAACTCCTGCTTTGTGAAGAGAGTTATTCCAGCCTGACATATAGTACTGGGTCCTGCATTTGCAAAAGAGGAAATCTAGTTGTTCAGGCACAAGCCTAGAACTTGAGAGACCTTCGTTCAAGTTCTTCCTCCACCACAGACTTCCTATGTGACCTTGGGTAAGCCATATAGGCCCAGCTCCTCAAACGGATTTAGGATCCTTGCTCTTAATAGGAGTTAGGTGCCTAAATACCTTTTAAGGATCTGGGCCTTAGTGTCTCTGTGCCTCAGTGCATCTGTCAAATGGGGATAGTAGCATTTTCCAGAGGTGTTGTGAAGACAAATGTTAAAGATTGCAAGGTGCTCAGACACTATGATAAATATCTTAGCTAGGTACTTATATGCATTTTACTCCAGTGATTGAAAATAATGAAATATGCAATTAACTCCCCCCACCCAGAAGTTTCCCTTTGGGATCAGTTCCAGTTTTTGGAGAGAGTTTCTGGAGGAGAGTTTGTGTTGTTCCTGAACCACTCTCTCTGTTGCTAGTAACAACATTCCATCTTGTCACAAGGTCTCAGAGTCCATGGCCCATCCAAATTCCTATTTTACACGTGGGAGGAAAATTCTCTCTCTCTCTCGAGAAAGCCATGTGTTAGTGTCATGGGGTGCTCTACTCACCACCGTAGTGCCTCCTTCTGGCTGCATCCAGCCATTAGCTCTGCCAGGCCATCAGCCCTTCCCAGGTTCTGTAGTCCTCCCTTTCCCAGGTACTATCAACAGCCTCCACAGCGTTCCAGGCATAGGCACCAACTCCATGGGTGCTCCAAGGCTGGAGCACCCAGAGAAAAAAATAGTGAGCACCCACCAGCCACCCAACAATCAGCTGTTCTATGGGCCCCACCAATCAGCTTCTCCCCTCCCTCTAGCACTTCCTGCCCAACAGGACCAATCAGCTGTTCGGTGGCAGGCAGGAGGCACTGGGGGGATGCAGAGGAGCATGGGGGGGAAGAGGCAGAGCAAGGGCATGGAGCACTTGGGGGAGGGGGCAGGAAGAGGCAGAGCCTCAGGGGAGGGACAGGAAGAAACAGAGCAAGGGTGGGGTCTTGGGGCAGGGCCTCAGAGCAGCGGTGGAGCACCCCCAGGGAAAGCTGAAAGTCAGCTCCTGTGGTCCTAGGCAATCCTGAAGTCCACTGCCCTGGCTAAGTGATTCCCTCAGTGACTGGGATGAATGGTCCCAGACAGCCTTCAAGATCACTGCCCCAGTTGTACCACTAACTCATTCAGTGGCTGGTAGGGGAACCCAGGCCTCCCCCCACATTGGGTTCCAGTCCAGGGGCCCTATCTCCTGCAGCTGAGGTCTGTACTACCCCAAACCTTCCTGCCTCCCACACTGGAGTGCTCACCTTGCCTATCCCAGGCCCACGTTCACCACCCTAGCTAAACCCCTATATCCTGGGTCTGCTCGAGAAACCCTTCCTTTTCGGTTCAAACCCCTTTCCCTCCCATATCCCAGAGAGAGGTCCTACTGCCCATTTTCTGCTACCAGCTCCCTGGTTTTATAGACATCCCTTCTGTTGCTCCACAGGTGAGCTTCCTGCTTCCCTTAATTAGGACTCTCCTCTCCCTGTAAATATCCCCCAGCTTGCGGCCTAATAGGTTAATTGGCCCACCTGGCCTACGTTATCCCTGTCTAGCAAGTGTGGGGAACACACCCCATCATGGTTAGTCTTTCTAAAACCTTTACCTTGTTTCCTCGGCTTAGCACCGTCTGCCTTTTGCCTACATTACTCATGGATCAACAGGCAATTGGTTTAAACCAGCTTTATGTTGCTTCAGTGATGAGGTGGCTGCTAAATAATTTTCTGCAGTTTATTAGTAATGCAAATGGCTCCGTGCATCACTAAGGCACTGAGGGCCCAATGCCATAGACGCCCAGGGTGTGTCTACACAGCCCACGGCTGGCCTGTGTCAGCTGACCCAGGCTCACAGGGCTCAGGCTATGTGGCTGTAAAATTGCAGCGTAGGCATTTGGGCTCAGGCTGGAGCTTGTACTCCGGGACCCTGCGGGAGAGGGGAGTGTCTACATTGCAATCTAAGCCCAGTGTTAGTAGAACTCGAGTTCGCTGACCCTGGGTTTGTAACCTCATTTGTAACCTCTGGTTAGGAATTGTTGAAACCTGGGTCCTAACCTGGGGCTCCAGTGTCTGTGGTGTGTTATGCGGGCTCAAGTCCAACCACCCATATCCCAGACTTCTTAGTGCCCTCACAAAACATGGCCACTCTAGCGCTTTGTCCGTGGTGCAGTGTGGGAAAACTTGACAGTCCAGAGGACAAATAAAGTCGGTCCATGGCACCATGGGATACTTTTGGTAGACTCCCAGAGCATGAGTCCAGCGGGGCTGTATCTACACTGCAAAGAAAAGAGGACTTAAACCCTGGGGCACAGCTTGACTCAGGTTCAGACCCTCCACCCCGATAGATCCTGGACTGGGCCTGAGCCCCAGATTACCGTGATTTGTGTGTAGATGGAAGGGAGATTGGCTTGAGCCTGAGTTTGAACCGTGGGCTTATGTTGCAGTGTAGACGTACACTTAGGTTTGGTCTACACCTAAAACTTAGGTTGATGTAGCTGCATCGCTTGGGGGCACTGGAACACTTTTTACAGCAGGGGTGCTGAAAGCCAGTGGTCCCCAAAAATTTTACCTTGCACCCCCCTTGCCCCTGTCTGCACCCCTTCTCCCCAGAGCTCGGACCAGGACTGGGCCGTGGCTTGAGGGGTGGCGATGTGGACAGCGGGTAAGGGGGCTGAGGGTGGGGGGCAGAAGCAGAGCCCTGGGTGTGGGTCCTGCAACTAGGACCTCGGGTGCGGGGCCGGGACTGGGCTGACGGAAGATTTCTTCCATTGATCTTGCTACTGCCTCTCAATGGGGTAAATTTCCTGCAGTGGTGGAAACCCCGCTTCCTTCGCTGTGGTAAGCGTCTGCGCTACAGCCCTGAAGCAGTGTAGCTGCAGCTGTGTCACTGTAGCTCTTGTAGTGTAGACACAGCCTTAGGGCTAGACTCTCCCAGCCACTCGGGGCAATAAGGGAGAGTCCAGCCTCCCTCGCTCACCTAGTTGGCTCTGCTCCGATGGTGACTGGCTGTGGGGAGGGATAATTCATCCAAGCAGGGGTGTTTCCCCTGGTACTCCCCACCGAAGGACTGACTTCATCCCCCTTCCCCTCTCGTTGGCCAGAGTAAGTGGCTGGATGCAGGGGGGAAGAAAGCTGCTCCCTGAAAATGGGTGGTGAGGCCGAGAGCCACAGCCCGTTACCTGCTCTCCTTCTGGCACAGCGCAGCTACATGTGACGTTGCCCGCAGTCACCTGACAGTTTAGCCCCTAGGCTGGGGAGTAACTGTGTTCCAGCGCGGAGGTCCCATTGAAGTCATGACACGTATCTGCTTCGGTCAGTACATTTATTCCGGGGTGTATCCTTTGTCAGCCCCTTGCCCCAGTAAAAAGAGGCACGTCGGGGTTGGGCTGGGAGCATGGTCGAGCTCACGACCGGATCTCTTTGGCAGAAGAGTCCTAGCACCAGCAATGTAAGTTAGAGCAGGATTCTTTCCGCTCTAACTTTGTGCTGAGGCCAGGTGGCCCTGAACTGGGAAGATGCAGCCGGCTCCCTGAGGCTGCCACGGCTCTACAAAGTGGAGAATCAGGGCCAGACTGGGGTTTTCTTATAACTTCTCAAACTAAGGATTTGCAGAGCAGATGCTAAGTGCATGACAAATTGGTCATTTGGGTGTTCCCAAACTTCGATGCATCTACTAACCACAACGACTCTGGGAGTGAACATATGATGGGGGTGGGGGTGGGAGGCAAAATATGTCTGTTACATGAACTAAGATACATATTGGGAAAATAAACCCCCTTGAAGGGATTATCTGTAAGTGAGATCAGAACTGCTGTCTTTCACTCTTCCTGCTATTTCTTTTTTGGACAGCAGCATGGTGAGTTAAGCAGAGCCTTAGGAATTGAGTTTAGGGCTTGGTTCTGATCTAATCTATCTATCCCATAGAGTTTCATCTTGCCCCCCTTCACTGTAGTACCTGACTGCCTTCTGTGTAAAATCGATAGCAAAGTCCCTAGCAGACCTCATGGAGTATTCATTAGGGGTATGGAATGGCTTCCGAATGAGGAGAGATTAATAAGACTGGGACTTTTCAGCTTGGAAAAGGTGAGATGTCATTGAGGTCTATAAAATCATGACTGGTGTAGAGAAAGTAGATAAGGACGTGTTGTTTACTACTTCTCATAACACAACAACTAGGGGTCACAAAACGAAATTAATAGGCAGCAGGTTTAAAACAAATAAAAGGAAGTATTTCTTCACACAATGCACAGTCAACCTGTGGAACTCCTTGCCAGAGGATGTTGTGAAGGCCAATACCATAACTGGGTTCAAAAAAGAACTAGATAAATTCATGGAGGATAGGTCCATCAATGGCTATTAGCCAGGATGGGCAGGAATGGAGTCCCTAGCCTCTGTTTGCCAGAAGCTGAATGAGCGACAGGAGATGGATCACTTGATGATTACCTGTTCTGTTCATTCCTTCTGGGGCACCTGGCACTGGCCACTGTCGGAAGACAGGATACTGGGCTAGATGGACCTTTGGTCTGACCCAGTAGGGCCATTCTTATGTTCTTATGAGTCTCCGGCACCTCTCTTTTACACTGGTTTTACACTGACATTGACTTGAGTGTGCCGGTTTGAAACAAGAATCAGGCCCTCAGTGATCAGATGGCTCGATGGATCAAACCTTGCTTTGCAAAAGCCATTTCCTCTTAGTGTCAATGTTTCTCTTCTCCATGTGTAGGGATCAGTTGGGGGCATACATGGTAAGGACCAGACTGGGAGCAATTTCTCAGATGTTTTAAAAGACAGGTGCCACTTGCCTGCAGGTGAAGGTCACAACTTGTGAGTTACCAGTGCTTTGGGACTGAAGGGTTCTGTAGAACTCCCTGGACCATTTCCATCCCAAGTGTAACACCACTGAAGTACAGCCTGTTGAGTCCTTGTGAGAGAAAGATTTTGACACTCTGTCCATGTCTGATTTGTAGTGATAGTAATGACCATTCTGATGTAATGCTCAGAAGCTGGGTGAATGACTAAACCAATGCTTCCAACATAACTCCTCTGTAAATCTATTGAATTAAATAGATCTGTATGGATACAAACCCTACATTATGGAGCTGTGTGGTTATTCTCATATAACCTCCACACGTTGTGTGCAGGGTGGCTTATTCAGTCTTACAGAGACTATTAAAGGCTTGTCAGAGGGCAGTGTTATCCAGTGGTCTGAGCACAGGACTGGGAGCTTGGAACTTCTGTACCTAACCCCTGCTCTACCACTCCCTATCTGCAGTGGCCTTCAGTAAAGCATTTAACATCTCTGTGTCTGTCCCCCCATTGTTACATGGAGATGGTAACACTTATCTACCTCACAAGACTGAGTCATGATTGTACAGAGCTTGAGAAGAAAAGTTAAGTGCTTTCTAAGTGTTACTGTTGATGCAGCACGATTGATTCTTAATGTTCGGCTCCTCTTTCAGTGTGCTCATGTTGTTCGGTGTGCCGAATCCTCAGAGGTGAGTGCTGGATTCCACGCATCCCTTGTGCGCACGGCTGCATTCACCTGCGATGTCTTGCTGTTTTTATTCTTGCTCCCTGGCTTTCTTAACAAAGAGGACAACTGAATAAAGGCTGGGGCAACAATGAATGAGTTTGTAACTGAAAAACGAGACTCGGGGCTGCGCTGTGTGTGTTTCGTTGCTAACCATGCATTTCCGTGAGCTCTTTCTTTCACTCACTGACCTGCATTACAGAGGCTGTGGAGTGCTTTGACTTCAGCCCTGTGGATATTGGGGAGTTTTGTGCCACTGTTGCTTCACCAGTGCAAATCCCCAGCATAGATGCATTGTGCCAATGTAAAACAGGGCTTGCTCTGCTGCGATTGTGACTAAGCAAGAGAAAATTACCAGGGTACATCACACCAGTCCCAGCCTCGTCTTGCACTGGTACAGTGTGTCTACACTAGGCGTTTGCACAGATGTCACTACGTAGATGCATTTACACCAGTACAGATTTCTCTAACATAGACCTGGTCTATACCTAAAACTTAGATTGACCTCACTACATCGCTCAGGGCTGTGGAAAATTTCACCCCCCTGTGACGTTGTTAAGCTGACCTAAGTTCTGGTTTAGACACTGCTAGGTCAATGGAAGAATGCCAACCTAGATACCACCTCTCAGGGCATGTCTACACTACAAACTTTTGCCGCCACAAGTTACGTTGGCATAAAGCCGCCACAGTTACTTTAGTCCTTGTGCACATGCAAACTTTGCTTCTTGCGTCAGCGCTGCGTGTACTCAGTAGGAGTGTTTCTGTCGATGCGCAATGTGGTGCACCATGGTTAGGCATCCCAGGGTGCAACTTGCCGCCATTCAGCTCACTGACTTTTTGGGAAGTTTTGGCAAAGCATGGTGGGACAGAAATGAGTTGGACAGGGTTCACTGGGACTGCAGGGTCAAGTTTCTACCCTGTCGTGCCATCTTTATCCCATAATTTTTGCACTTATTTTGAAAATACCATGAACCTGCGTGGGACCTGTTGCTGTACGGCATCTCTGACAGAAGCATGGAGCCTGCTCAGCTTTGCACAGTTATCATGAACATTGTGAGCACAGGACGCATGGTCCTCTAGTATTTGCAAAACCACAAGAAGTGCCGTGGGGAACATGATGATTTCCTAGAGGTCAGATTGCTGTTGGACGTGGCGAGAACCAATTCAGGGTTGGTGGTGGTGGTCACGGAGCAGCTGGAAATGGCAGCGTGCCACTTCTGGGCCTGAGAAATGAGCACTGACTGGTGGGCTCGCATTGGAATGCAGGTTTGGGATGACGAGCAGTGGCTGCAGAATGTACGGATGTGCAAGGCCACGTTCCTGGATCTCCAGCACAGGGACACCAGAATGAGAGCTGCACTGACAGTGGAGAAGCGAGTGGCAATTGCACTATGGAAACTTGCAACCCTGGATTGCTACCAGTGGGAAATCATTTTGGAGTCGGAAAATGCACTGTGAGGGCTGTTGTCATGCAAATGTGCAGGGCCATTAATCGTCTCCTGCTATGCAGGGCTGTGACTCAAGGCAATGTGCAGGGTATAATGAATGGATTTGCAGCAGGGTATAATGAATGGATTTGCAGCAGTGGGGTTCCCGAACTGCAGTGGCGCGATAGACAGCATGTATATTCCTGTTTTGGCACCAGACCACCTTGCCACATAGTACGTCAACAGAAATGGCTACTTTTCTGCGGTTATTCAAGTGCTGGTGGATCACCAGAGACGTTTCACCGACTGCAGTGTTGGCTGGTCAGGAAAGGGACATGATGCTCACATCTTAAGAACACAGGACTGTTCAGAACGCTAAAACCAGGGATATTGCTTCCCGACCGGCAGAATCCCATTGGTGATGCTGAAATGCCAATAGGGATCCAACCAACCCCTTATTCCCGTACGCAGGCCACCTTGGCAGCACCAAGGAAAGATTCAACAATTGGCCCAGCTGGTGCAGAATGACAGCTGAATGCGCTTTTGGTAGATTGACGCAAAGGGGGAAAAGGTGCTGCCAGGGTGGAGAGCAGAGATGGAGCAGCAGTCTGCTGAGTGTGAACAGCCAGACACAAGGGATATCGGAAGAGCTCAATGCAGAGCTGTATGGCTCAGGGAGGCTTTAAAGAGCATTTTAATAGTGAGCCACATTGATGTGTGGTGATGCACTGCACTCTACCTAGCTCTGCAGTTTGAGGGCCTGTTAGGCATTGTGTGGTGCTTGGTGCACGTCTATGGCTATAACCGTTTCAATGCACCTATTCATTTTGTGATGCTTGCTGCACATTTATGATTATCACACTGTGTCTGTCTCTGCACCTCTGAGTTGTGTCAAAGTGTACAATCACAAGAGGGTGGGTGCTTTCAATGTGACCAGCCATTCTGCAGCATACGTTGGAAACTAATAAAGGATGACTTATTTTCCAAACGACAGAGTTTTATTGAATAACAAAAAACACTTCAAAAAAATTCTGTGCAAGTTAAAAGCAAACACATTAAAACAGTGGTTCCCAAACTAGGGGTGCCGCTTGTTCAGGGAAAACCCCTGGTGGGCCAGGCCAGTTTGTTTACCTGCCGCGTCCGCAGGTTTGGCCGATCGCGGCTCCCACTGGCTGCGGTTTGCCGCTCCAGGCCAATAGGGGCTGCGGGAAGGGCAGTCAGCACATCCCTTGGCCCGCGCCACTTCCCGCAGCCTCCAGAGGCCGAGAACGGCGAACCGCGGCCAGTGGGAGCTGTGATTGGCTGAAGCTGCGGACGCTGCAGGTAAACAAACCAGCCCGGCCCACCAGGGAGTTTCCCTGAGCAAGCGGCACCCCTAGTTTGGGAACCACTGCATTAAAACCTTAACAAATTTTTGGAACAGAGCTTAAAGAATGGGAAGTAACATTCATGTCCATTACAGTTACACATACTACATCGTGGCTCTCACGGCTCAGTGTATTTGAAGCTCTGGTTGTACTTAATGTCCCCTGGTGTGCAGTAGGGATGCGGCCCCTGATGCCACGTGAAATGTTGATTGGGATATAGGGAGGTGCTGTGATGGAGCTCTCCATGGACTGCAAAGGGATTTTTGAGATGTTAGGGGGCTTATTCCTTCACCCACTTACTTCCCTGATCCTTCTCGCATGAACAGAGAGCAACAATACCCGAAGTCCAAAGGTGCAAACAATTCGATGTTTATTGGGGTGAACTTCCAGCAAGCATGATTCCAGTTTTCTTCCTTAGTGTCCTCCTTCCCAGCTCTGACACCACAGAGCCTTACACCTGTGTCCCTGTTCCCATTCCTGCCCTTAGCAAAACATTATTCCAATTTCCTTACCCCCATTCCCTGTTCCCATTTCCCCCTTTAGCAAAACATGATTGCAATTTCCTTACCCCCATTCCCTGTTCCCATCTCCCACAACCACCCCCACTCCCCCCACACCCACACCCCCTCACTTCCTCATTGACTACAGATTATATAGTAAAACTTGAGTTCTGCTTAGCTATACCTTAACCAATCATTTTCCTGAAATTTAACTAACCAATCCTAACATATTGTAACATGATTATGTAACCAATTATATCCCACCACCTTAATTAGTTTACACCCAGCAAAATTAATTATACAGCAGACAGGAACAATCACAGAACCAGACAGAGATTATACAGACAAACAAGAGCAAAGTGACAGGTTTCAGAGGAACAGCCGTGTTAGTCTGTATTCGCAAAAAGAAAAGGAGTACTTGTGGCACCTTAGAGACTAACCAATTTATTTGAGCATGAGCTTTCGTGAGCTACAGCTCACTTCATCAGAGCAAAGTGGGAACTATAATGACAAAACAATACAGAAGTGAGGATTTCACATCCCAGTATTGATAAGTGAGTTCTTGCCAGACAGGATGCTGTTTCCTTTTACATTTTCTAGGCACTTCCCTTTCTCTGGAGGCGATAGGCATTATCAGGACAGGATTGTTTTCCTAACAGCCCAATAGCACCTTCTTTCAATGTGACTAGTTTGGAATGTGAGGATGTGACCGGTCGCTTCCTAGTTTATGGCTGCCTCTGCTGCTTAGCCAAAGGCCTTAGCCTAAGAACAGGGCCTCAGACTGTCACAGTAAGAGAAGGCCCTTACACCAGCAGACAGTGATTTTGATTCTTTCTTTTATACCTCTGTAACTAGCCAAGTGATAAGAATACCCCTAAATTCTTAAAGTACAGGCCTTTGCAGACAGGCCTGAATATCTTTATCCTAACAGTCCACAAGAGTCTGCAGCATCCATGTTTGCTGCCAGAGAAGCCCCATTATATTCCAGTGCATCTCCCTCTCTGACTCCTGGGCCTTTCTCCTGTCCACTCTTTCCTTCTCCATATAGTTTGCAATATTCATCCTCCAGATCCCCTGGTCATGGTCTGATGCAGCACTGGCTTGTAGGATCTCACTGAACATGTCATCTCGAGTCCTCTTCTTTCTCCTCTTTATCGGGCTCAGGTGTACCCCGGGTGTGGAGGGGGCATCCCTCAAGGCTTTAGCAACAGCAGCTGCAGATAAAACACACAGAGGTACCATTGTCAGTATTGTCACAGCAGAAGTGAAGAATCAGAATTCCCGTCCCTAGCTCCTCTAAAGTTTTAAACCAGACATGGTTATTGACACTTCTATTTCAGAGGGCTTGTACATGGCACCACTCACAGCCACAGATGACCAGTGCCTGGTGATAGTGGGGGGGCAGAGAGAGGGCAGCCAGCGTCAGCAGTGTTACTGAGCATGGTCAGTCTGGGTGAGCGTGCTCAGTACAAGCCAAGCAGCCAATCTGGGGTGGGTGGGCTCATCACCCCTCATGCCCCCCCATGTGTCACCTCTGCTCACAGCACTGGCCCTGGTGAGTATGGCCTGAGATCGGAATTGCTCGGTTGCATGAAGCTGTGAATATAGGGCAATGGCACTGAATATCGGCATCATTTTCTACTGGGGGTGATTCTAGCTGATATCTCACTC